GGAGGAGGAGGATTGTGCTAGGATTGTGCTACTTAGGACTTACGCAGATGGATAGCACTACGCAAGCCGCCTTCGCCGTGCAAGTTTAGACTTACAGGGGCTTCCCTATGGATGGATGGCGGCCCTCCCACAAACGCCTCAGTCGACCCTTGGCCGTCCGAGCTCGGGCGGGCCAATAGCCCTCCTTCACACGGTTCGTCCACTTACACTGAGCGTAGGAAGAGCATCGCCTGTAGAAAACAAAATCGGGGCACAACACGAGATGGTGTCGTTGCCCCTGTGCCTTAAGGATGCGTGCTTGTCGGGCTTTGAATTCGATGGCATATTCGGAGGAGGAGGAGGAGGGGAGGAGGAGGAGGCAGGAGGAGGAGGGGGAGTAGGAGGAGGAGGAGGAGGAGGAGGGGGAGGAGGAGGAGGAGGAGGAGGAGGAGGAGGAGGAGGAGGAGGAGGAGGAGGAGGAAGATCTCAGGACCTTTGTCGCGGTCCCTCTCCTGGCGTCGCCCCGGAGGCGAGCTGACCACCGCCGTGCCCCTCGCCGGCGGGGGTGCCGCGCCCGGCGGCGGCGGGGAGGGCGCGGCGGGCGCCGAGGACTCCTTCGAGGCGCCGTGCGCGCCGCTGCACGAGCTGCTGCTCGCCGCGCTGCCCGCGGCGCTGGGGCTCCAGGGGGGCCTGCCCGAGAGGCCGCCGGGCGGCCTTCGGGGATTTTCGCCGCGTTCGGCTTCCGAGGGCCGTCGCCGGGCCGACGGGGCCGCCAAAGAATGACTGAAGGCGAGAAGCGGGTCCCAGGGAACGGGTCGAGAGCCCCGGGGGGTCGACGGCACGAAGAATCATGACGTCTGGGGTTTGGGGTGCCCACGGGGGTCGTCGCCACGGTAGGTTCGCGCCGTGTCGACTGGCAGCGACACCGCCGCCTGCGTCCAGCGTGGGGCGCCGCCTGCGACCCAGAATCGGTGGATGCTGAAGGATCTGACGTTTCGGAAGGGGCCGATCGTTCAAGGTTGAACGACCCACGCGGTGTCAGAAACCAACGCCAAAGTCGGCACGGCACGAACCTGCCGCACGCAGTGCGGGCCCGGAATTTCAAAGGGAGCCCCCCCCATCCTATCTTCGGGAGGGGGGGGGGGGGAAACGGCGCTCCCACGGAGCTGCGGCGGCGATGGAGCTGCGGCGTTTCAGTTTGGGCTGCCTGCGATGATTCGCGTACTGTCGACACACGTGGCGTCGGCGATCTTCGTTTGCTATCCTTGGGCCCGCAGGCTTATCCTGTGTGACCCTGAAATTCTCAGTTGCTTTATGTAGCCTTAAGTCGGGCATGTCCCTCTACAGGAGGCATATTCAAAAATAGTCATATATAGTCTGGGGACAATGTTTTAACTGTTTTTGGAAATCTTTGAATCTGCTTTGACTGTGTTTCAACCGTCGTCCAACATCCGCCTGTAGGAGGACATGCCCGACCTGACTGTAGCCCTCCCCTTCTATTCTCGCGCCGCGAAACAAATCACGACGGGTGTTCTCTGACGTCCTCGTCGCGCCTCCGGGTGCTTCTGCCAGCAGCTGCGCCTCGTGGAGAGCGCTCTCCGATGCTGCCTGGATCGTCTGAGCCTCCTCCTCCTTCTCCTCCTCCTCCTCCTCCTCCTCCTCCTCCTCCTCCTCCTCCTCCTCCTCCCCCTCCTCCTCCTCCCCCTCCCCCTCCTCTTCCGCTCGGGCGCGGCCCACGGCTGTGCTCGCCTGAGCCATGGCCCGAAAAAGCCGCCCATCCCCGCGTGGTGCCTCTGCCAGCAGCTGCGCCTCGTCGAGAGTGTTCTCCGATGCTGCCTGGATCGTCCCGATCGCCTGTTGGACGCCTGAGCCATGGCAACGAAAAAGCCGCCCATCCGCGCGTGGTGACAATACAGTGAGCGGCTTGAGTAAGGAACACTTACTTTTCAAAAGGGGCTCGGTCGTTCCTTAGATTGTACATGCGTGATTTGCAGTTCCTTATGCGTTATTTGTTATTTGTCGTTCCTTATGCGCTATTCCTTGGGGTAAAAAGGGGCTTCGTTCCTTATTTCTCGTTCCTTAGGTCAATTCCCCGACTGTAATCACGACGGGGGGGAGGTTGTGGCCACCGCCGGCTTCCGGGGGCAGCCGCTGGGCCCCCCGTGGGCCGTCAAGAGACCAATCGGCACACGGGGAGCCAGTCCAAAAACCGTCTGAGCCTCTCCTCCCCCCCCTTCTCGAGCCTTCCTCCAATAATCCTACTCCTCCTCCTCTCCTCCCTCTCTCCTCCCCCCTCCCTTTACTCCTCCTCCTCCTCCTCCTACTCCTCCTCCTCTCCCCCTCCTCCTCCTCCTCCTCCCTCCCCTACCTCCTCATCCCCTCTCCTCACTCCCCTCCTCTCTCCTCCTCCTCCTCTCCTCCCTCCTCCTCCTCCTCCTCCTCCTCCATCCTCCCCCTCCCCCTCCCCCTCCCCCTCCTCCTCCGCTCGGGCGCGGCCCACGGCTGTGCTCGCCTGAGCCATGGCCCGAAACAGCCGCCCATCCCCGCGCCGTGACAGTGATCACGACGGGAGGGGGGGTGTGGCCACCGCCGGCTTCCGGGGGCAGCCGCGGGGCCCCGTGGGCCGTCAAGAAACGGCTCGGTACTCCAGATGTCGTAATAAAGGGAGGGGGGTCTCATTTCGGGGGGGTCTCTTCCAGGCTATCTTGGAGGGCCTGGGGGGTCTGGGGACGATGTTTTGGAGGGTTCTCCCAAGGGGGAGGTCTGAAATGGCTTGTCTTGGAGGGTCCAGACCCCCCCCTTTAATTACGAAATCTGGAGTACATGAGGAGCCAGTCCCAAGGGAAGAGGGTCCAGGCCTCTTGCGGGGGTGGGGGGGGCGGGGGCGCGCGCCGTGGAGGAGCCACGGCGTCGGGGGTCTCTCGGGCGGGGGCCAGGACGAGGAGGAGTCCGGTCCATGAGCGCTTCGGAGCGCGCTCGGGTGTTCTCGGACGGGTCCAGGCCTCTGCGGGGGGGGCGGGCGCGCGCCGTGGAGGAGCCACGGCGTCGGGGGGTCTCTCGGGCGGGGCCAGGACGAAGAGGAGTCCGGTCCATGAGCGCTTCGGAGCGCGCTCGGGTGTTCTCGGACGGGTCCAGGCCTCGGCGGGGGGGGGGCGGGGGCGCGCCGTGGAGGAGCCACGGCGTCGGGGGTGTTCTCGGGCGGGGCCAGGACGAGGAGAAGTCCGGTCCATGAGCGCTTCGGAGCGCGCTCTCGGAGCGTTGCGGCACGCTCCGGGAGCGCCGCGGCGCCCGAGAGATCTTCCAGAGCCACCGGATTCCAGAGATTGAGGATTTATCCTCACTCTCGGCGGCGAGCGAGGTGAGTAAGTGAGAAGGGGAAGGCCTTCTCAGAAGAGGGTGGGACTTCTCAGAAGCCTTCGCGCCTTCTAGCAGGTTTTTCTGTGTCTTCGAGAACAGCCCAAAGCAATTCTCAGAAGGCCGGGGAACTTCCGAGCCTTCTGAAAAGGCCTTCGTTTCTCCTTCCTTCTCATTTCCCCCCCGCGCTCGCCGCCGACACCCGATCTGATCCTCATCCTGGCTTCGTCCGAGCCTCCAATCTGCGGTCGGCCTCCTTCTCGAGGCCCCAGGCTTTGGCCTCCTCCTGCGCGTGGGCCGCGCCGTCAAAAGGCACGATGTCGGATGTCTCCAGTTTTGTTGTCCGCCTCCTTTTCTATCGGGGGTGCCACTGGCCCAAGGCGCCCCCGGCTGTTCGCTCGTGTGTTTGGGTGCCATGGGGCCCTCTGGGCCTTGTGAGGGGGTGCTCTGGAGGCCGTGGGGGCCTCTTTGGAGATCCTGGGGGCACCTTGGGCCAGGGGCACTTCTGGCAGCACCCGATTCGAGGCCCCGGATTGACCTCCTGAGCGTGGACGCCGAGGGGGCGGAGATCGAGATCTTCCGGGATTTCCCGTTCGACTCGTGGGACGTTCGGGTGGTAGTCGTGGAGACGAGCCGGCGCACCACGATGGCGCTCGACAGCCTCCTGCTGCCCCGCGGCTTCTTGAAGGTGCCCAGTGTTCGGGAAGGGCGCCTGTGCTCGGTAGGTCCGTGTCACGTCGACGCGGCGGCTACCCCGCCGCGGACGCTAAAGGTTGAACATCGCTAGTAGTCCAGAATCGGCCAACATGGAACGGTCTAGCGATGGAAAATTCTCAGGAGGGGGTAAAACACAAACACAATTAATCGTCGATCCCCAGCAGGAAATATTGGAAAATATGGGAAGAGGGAGGGGAAGACGAGGATCCAGAAAATATGATAAAATATGGGGGATCCTGGGATTTGTTTATATTACTTGTGTGTCCCAGGGCCCCTTCAAAGTTGCCAATCGTTCAAGATTGAACGATCCACGCGGTGTCAGAAACCAGCGCCGGGGTCGTCGCGACGCGAACCTGCCGTACGTCAGTCTCCCCTGTTTTGCTTTGACCCCATCCCGCCTTCCTTGCCCTGCTTTATGATGTGCCAGCCTACTTTGTCTTTGACCACCAGAAAGAATTTCGAGCGCCACGAAAGTACCGAGAATGGAGGGTTTTCACGTGTTGGGCCCTTGGAGGCGATGCTCGTTCGACCCTTCGCCTTCGTGTTTGGTGGGTATTGTTTCGATACTTTCTTGGGTGCTCGAAGTTAAGTCTCGGATGTGGTCCTTAAGTACGATGGGAACAACATATGCCCTGCTCCGTCTCCCCCTCTCCCCTTCCGCAGACCCCCGGCGTTGCGATTTTGCTCACGGCGTGGCTCCCCAGAGGTTTGGACCCCGTCCATGGACCGGCCGCTCATGCCGAGTCGTTGTTTGGGCCCTGTAACGGCCCCGGGAGGCCGGACATTGGCAAAACCGTCCGTCGTGATTTGTTTTGGCGACGCAAGGATGGCACGGCCGTTCCCCTCGCCTCCCTCCCTCCTCCCTCCCATTCCTTCCGTGATGGCTCGTACTCTCTTCAGGAGGGGACAAAACACAGACACAAAGAATCATCGGTCCCCAGGTATATATTTGATATATATATACATATATATATACATGTACATAAAATATAGATCTACATATACATATATCTATATATATATGGGAAATTGTGGGGCGTGGGGGGGGGGGAATCCGAACCTCCAGAAGATATGGCAGATATCAGGAGCCCTGGCATTTGCGTCCGTCTGTTTGTGTGCCCCTGGGCCCCGTGACGTACCTCCGACCACTCTGCCCGAGCGGCTCCCGAGCCCGAGCCAAGCCCGCGATGGCAGGCCGAGCGGCGCAGCATAGAGCATAGAGAGCCGCCGTGGCTTTCGAAGCTCTCGGTGGGCTTTCTCTCCAGTCTGCCAGGAGGGGGGCGCGACCCTCCAGGGGAACAGAGCAACGCAACAGGAAGGGGCCCAGACATGATTGCGCCGTACAAAGTTCAGGGCGGGAGGGTTTTCGCCATTTTCGGCCCCAAGGGGCCCTCGCCGGGCCCCGGGCCCGTCAAAGAACAGCTCAGGATGAGAAACCGGTCCCGGGGAAAGGGTCGGGACTTCCAGGGACGCGGCCCTGACAAAATCAGGACGTCGCATGTCATGGATAGTAAGGGAAGAGGCTGCTTATACCCATTCCTTCGGATGCAACTCCTGGGAGGTCAAATTCTGATTTCGCCCTGGTCCGAAATTCGGCTTAATCTAGCTAGATCCCGCTGAATCCCGTTTAATCCTGCTCAGTCCCGCCTGATCCGGCTTAATCTGGCTTAATGCGAGGCCCACTCCGGCGTAACAGCGCCCCATTGGGGGTTTGTCCTCTTTAATCCTTCCGACGAAAACCTCCCAGTAGTTGCCTCCTAACATTCCCTTCCCCCTCCTCACCCCTACAGTGGAGACCCATGCCAAGAAACACCCTGCTTGCCTCCAGGGTGCCCTGGGTTTCCTGGGTTTCGATGGTCTTGCCTCGGAAAGCGTGACGTTACCGCGCCAGAAATCCATGGACGCCCTGGGGTCTCAGGGTTTGGTTTCTTGTGGAAGCTTTCTTGTGGTCGGGACCCTACTGTATACCCATTCCCCTGTCCCTCCCCACCCCTACTCCCAGGAGGGGGAGACACACAGACACAATTAGATGTCGACTTCCATAAACATGTGGGAAGATCTGGTTGATGGGGGAAAGACGAAAATCAAGAAAATACATGGGAAAATCTTGGGAATCCTGGGAGTTGTGTGTACTTGGTTGTCTGCTCCTGGGCTTCGTACTCCTCGAGAGGTGGCCGTGCTCGGCAAGGACGCCGTGTACGTCAGCCAGGCGCTGGCCCCCGCGCTGCGGCCGGAGGGCCCGGCGCTGCCGGCGCGCATCGCGTGGAACGAGCCGGGCAGCGACGAGGACGCCGAGCGGCCCTCGACGTGGATCCGAGCACAGTATATGACTACCACCACCGAGATCGAGAATAAGATACGATGCGATTTGGAGCAGTTTTGCTCCGGTGAAAGGCCCGCAGTCCCCCTCCCGCCGCCAACGGCAAACGCGCTGCCCCCTTCCTCTTAAGGACCGAAGCAGAATTCATCAAAGCACGCGCGGTGGTGGTGTAGAAAATTTTGGTTACCAAGAGGAGCGATTTTTTATACACCACCAGCAAGAAGTGCTGTTTCTGCTCCAAGTTGCTGAGATTTTTCCATGGACTCCACGTGGTGTCCATGAAAAAATCGCGACGGGAGGCTTTTCGCTGCTTTCGGCCTCCAGGGGCCCATACCGGGCCCCGGGACCGTCAAAACACGACTCAGGATGAAACACCGGTGTTGGGGAAGGGGTCCAGACCTCTGGGGGTCAACGAGCCGGGCAGCGACGAGGACGCCTCAAGCAGTGGCGAAGCGTCCTGGCTCTCTGATAGGCCCATCAAATAATGTTCTAAGAACCTTTCGTGGTCTGGACGAAATGTTCTCAGAGCATTTCTGGCCGAGACTATCTTGTTTTGATGCAGCGGCTTCATGTTCTAAGAACGTTGTTTCTGTAATTGAAACAAGTGTGGGTTCTAGGAACATGTCGTGGTAGGACTATAGGAATGCTGGGACGATCGGTCCCTGCTCAAACGCCGCCGAGCGGCCCTCGACGTGGTCGCCGTTGCCGTCGCCGTTGTCGTCGTGGTCGTCGTCGCCGTCCTCCGTGCGACGCCGCAGACAAACGGGTTCGACTGCGCGGAAAGGCGCGCGGAAGTTGCCCGCGTAAAGCGCCCTCGTTTCCACTGTAGCGTGCCTCTCTGGCGGCCCGCATAAGCCACTGCTTACGGTCGCTATGCCATCTCGCGTGAGACCCGTGCGTTTTAATCGCCCATCCTGGTTCGCGGTTCGGGCCCACGCGGATTTCTCGGATCGGCGTTGGGGCCCCCTGGCGGCGCCTCCGGCGGATTCGAGGACCGGAGGAGCTGCCATGTCTGCCTATAGGCGGAAGGCGCCGGAAGGCCGGCGGAGGAAAACGGGGGCGGCTCTGCTGGCGGAAGCCGGCGGGAGTAAAAGATGCGCCCCCAAGACATGGCAACCTTTTTAGGGTTCGGCCTCGTGGCGGTTCCAGGCCGGCCACATGGGGACAGAGTGCATGGGGTCGGGGGATCGCGCCGCATCGCCGATGCGGCGCTATTTTAAAACGACGCGAAGATCGGGACAAAATCGGATCGGGATAACTCGAAATCTCTGAGAATCGGCGGGTTTGGAGGATGTATTGGGCGCCGCGGCCGCTCCAGAGCGTTCCGGAACGCTCTGAGAGCGCTCCGGAACGCTCTGGAGCGATTTATCCCGATCCTAGCACTGTTTTATATTTGGGGCCGAAATGTGTCCATCCTGACGCCGCCGATGCATCGGCGATGCAGTGCGACCCGTCGACCCCACCTGCTCGGACCCCATGTGGGCGGCCTCCAGTGATGGTAGTGATGGCGGTCGCCGTCGTCGTCGCCGCAGTGGTCAGCCTGTGGCCTCAGCTTCGGGTTGTCTCTTGGAGCAAGCAACTTTGCTGTGCTTGCCTCCCGCCAGGCCTCCCAAAGGCTACGGTGGATGGCGGAGGATTTCGCCGTGTAACGCAGGCTACGGTGGATGGCGGAGGATTTCGCTTGCAGGCGCTGCACCAAGGGGCTTCCTGCTAGCCGCGGAGTGAGGTGCTGGTTTTCGTCAGTGCAGTGGCCGCCCAGCGCTGGCTGGCGCCAGCTTTTCGCCCGGTGGCCGTCGGTTGCCGCCTCGTGACCGCCCCCCTGCGGTGGGAATAGCAGTTCCAGATTTTCGCCAGTTGGGCAGCCGTGGCCGCCTCGTGGCCGCCCCGTGCTCTGGCTGACATGTCAGGGGGTTCTCCCAGTGGCGGCCCCGAGGTCGGACAGACTCTGTTTTCTTTGGAAGGGATTGGGATCCGCCCCCGTCCCGCGGCCCGACTTCTCCGCCGCCCTCCGCGTGCTCTGCTTCCCCACCCGGCTTGCCTGCAAGGAGCGCACGGTATTTGAAAGACACGGATACAGTCACCCCGCATAGTAAGGATGGGCAACCTTCCCAGGAGGACCCTTGCATCCTTGCCTCCTCGGTCCATCCTTGGCCACTTTCGTTGGCCGCGCCCCGCTCGAAGAGCTTCGAAATGGGCGTCCGAGGCCCTTGCATCCTTATCGCGCATCCTTACTGTACGGGTTGACTGTAGGTGGACGGTCGGATCCAGAAGAAGTCGGGCGACGTGGCTTCCTGCGGCCTCTCGGTGCCTCCCGTGCACTTTCATGTGTGTCCCCTATCCATATCCTCGTCCCGGTCCCTCTGCCTTGATCCTTGGCCAAACTGTCTCTATATACTATATCTCTATCCCGATCCCTATTCTGATACCTCTACCCCTATCATCCCCATCCCTACCCCATATCCATATTCCCATCCTTATTTGTAGTATTAGATACCCACCCCTATATTCGCCAGAGCGCGTTCGGTGGACGGCGGTTGGAAGGGGGGGGCTCGAACTGGGCACCCCAGTTCGAACTGGGCGGCATTCCCCCCCCCCCTGATATGCAAGGGGGGATGGTTCGAACCAGGGAGGGGTTCCTCCCTCAACAGGGGGTGTGGGTCGATCGGGAGGTGGGGGGGCCTAAGTTGCAAGAGGGGGACGTCGAACCAGCCCCCCCCTCCCCCCTCTGTCCAAAGGAGGGGAAGGGGGGTCGAACCACGGGGGGGGGCCTCCCCTCGAGTTGCAGAGGGGGTGTTCGAACCGCAAAGGCCCCCCCCCTTGAGTTGCACGGGGGGGGGGGTCGCGCCCTTGCAACCGACGACGGCGAACGACGGCGAGCGCCGGCGCTGGCGCCGGCGCCGCTGGGCAGCGATGACGAGAGCGCCGGCGCCGGCGCCGTCGGGCAGCGACGACGACGACGGCGATGACGGCGACGGCGACGACGACGACGACGACGGCGGCGACGACGACGACGACGACGACGACGACGGCGACGGAGGCGGCGGCGGCGACGGCGACGGCGACGGCGATGGCGACGACGACGACGACGACGACGACGACGACGACAATAGCGACAGCGGCCACGGCGACGGCGACAGCGACGGCGACGGCGATGGCGAAGGGTTTCTCTTAATCGTGAATTTGTTCTCTTAATCGTGAAATTGTGAAGTTTACGTAGTGTCATAGCGTAGTGTTGACCTCACGTGGGTATGACACTACGCTACGGTTAGTGTGGTGTCATAGCGTAGTGTTGACCTCACTTGGGTATGACACTACGCTGAGGGTAGTGTGGTGTCACAGCGTAGTGTTGGCATCACGCGGGTATGACACCACGCTACGGCTAGTGTGGTGTCACAGCGTAGTGTTGTGGACACCTGGGTGTGACACTACCCTATGACACTATGCTACAGTTGACGGGGCAAAGCGAGCAAGAGTTTTTCCGTTTGCTTTCGTTGGGGTTGGCGAGGCGTTGCTCCGCGAGGGATCGGCGGTTCCGGTAGCGTAGTGTCGTAGCGAAGAATTGGGGACACTTGGGTGTGACACTACCCTATGACACTACGCTACAGTTGACGGGGCAAGGCGAGCAAGAGTTTTTTCCGTTTGCTTTCGTTGGGGTTTGCGAGGCTTTGCTCCGTGAGGGATCGGCGGTTCCGGTAGCGTAGTGTCACAGCGTGGTGTTGGAGACATTTTGGTGTGGCACTACCCTATGACACTACGCTGCAGTTGACGGGGGAATTCTATTGGGTCCCCTAGGAATTCTACAGGATCTTCCAGGAATCCTGGAGGATTTCCGAATCTACTCTGCTCCGCCGGCGGAGTCTCCGCTACGGTTAGCGTAGTGTCACAGCGTAGTGTTGGGAACACTTGGGTGTGACACTACCCTATGACACTACGCTACGATTAGCGTAGTGTCGTAGCGTAGTGTTGGGAACACTTGGATGCGACACTACGCAATGACACTATGCTCATTGACACTACCCTATGACACTACACTACGGTTCGCGTAGTGTCATAGCGTAGTGTTGGGCACACCTGGGCGTGACACTACTCTATGACACTACGCGACAGTTGACGTCGCTGTGACACTACGCTACGACACTACGCTATGACACTACGCTATGACACTACGCTACGGTTAGGGTAGTGTCACAGAGTAGTGTTGGGGGCACCTGGCTGTGACACTACGCTATGACAATACGCTCGTGTAGTGTCATAGCGTAGTGTCGCGGTCGCGTGGCTTTGACACTACGCTACGTGAGTGTCATAGCGTAGTGTCTAACTGCACGGTTAAGATCAACTCTCGCGATGGCGACGTCGATGGCGTCGGCGTCGGCATCGGCGACGGCGACGGCGACGGCGACGGCGACGGCGCCGAGGACGCGCACAGGCCCCCCCCGGAGTTGCAAGGGGGGGGGTTCGAACTGGAGGGGGGGCCTCCTTGGAACCGACGACTGCGAGCGCCGGCGCTGGCGCCGTCGGGCAGCGACGACGACGACGGCGATGACGACGACGGCGACGACGACGCAGTCGGCGACGACGACGACGACGGCGACGACGACGACGGCGACGGAGGCGGCGGCGGCGGCGACGGCGACGGCGACGGAGGCGGCGACGGCGACGGCGATGGCGACGACGACGACGACCGACGACGACGACGACGTCGGCGACGAAGACGACGACGACGACGACGACGACGACGACGACGACGACGACGACGACGACGGCGGAGGCGGCGGCGGCGTCAGCGGCGACGGCAACGACGACGACGACGACGACGGCGACGGCGATGGCGACGGCGACGGCGACGGCGACGGCGACGACAATGGCGACTGCGACGGCGTCGGCGACGGCGACGGCGACGGCGACGGCGCGCACAGGGCCCCCCCCGAGTTGCAGGGGGGTTGCAGATGGGGGGGTTCGAACCGGAAGGGGGGGCCCCGCTGCAACCGACGACGGCGAGCGCCGGCGCCGGCGCCGTCGGGCAGCGACGACGACAACAACGTCGCCGACAATGACGGCGACGGCGACGACGACGACCACGGCGACGGAGGAAGTGGCGACGGCGACGGCGACGACGGAGGCGGCGGCGACGGCGACGGCGATGGCGACGACGGCGACATCGACCGACGACGACGGCGGCGACGACGACGATGACGACAACGGCGGCGACGACGACGGCGACATGGCCACGGCGACGGCGACAACGACGGCGACGGCGACGGCGACGGCGATGGCAACGGCGATGGCGACGGCGACGGCGAGGGCGACGGCGTCGCCGGCGCCGGCGACGGCGATAGCGAGGGCGACGACGACGACACGCACAGGACCCCCGCCCCGAGTTGCAGGGGGGGGGTTCGAACCGGAGGGGTGGGCCCCCCTGCAACCGACGACGGCGAGCTCCGGCGCCGGCGCCGTCGGGCAGCCACGACGACGACGGCAACGACGACGACGACGACGACGGCGACGACGACGGCGACGGCGGCGGCGGCGACGACGACGACGGCGACGGCGACGGCGACGGCGACGGCGACGGCGACGGCGACGGCGACGGCGACGGCGACGGCGATGGCGACGTCGAAGGTGACGGCGACGGCGACGGTGTCGGCGACGACGAGGACGTCGGCTGGCGACGACGACGAGGACGACGACGATGACAACGACGGCGACAGCGACGACGACAACGATGGCGACGGCGACGGCGACGGCGACGGCGACGGCGACGACGTCGACGGCGGCGGCGGCGGCGACGACGACGACGGCGACGGCGATGGCGACGGCGACCTGCGATTGGCGACCGGCGAGCAACGACGACGACGATGACGATGACGATGACGTTGACGACGACGACGACGACGACGACGACGACGACGACGACGACGACGACGGCGGCGACGGTGACGGACGGCGTCGGCGACGACGACGGCGACGACAACGACGACGCGGACAGGGGGGGGGCCCGGTCTGATCCTTTCCCCCTTGCAACTCAGGGGGAGGGGAAGGGGGCCGTTTCGAATCCCCCCCCCCCGTGGACAGGTCCCCCCCCCGGTTCGAACCTTTCCCCCCGCTTACTTTCCAGGGGAGGGGGGGAGAGAGGCCGGTTCGAACCCCGCCTTCGGACAGGGGGAGGGCCCTCCCGACCCCTTCGGGGGAGGGGGGGGGGGGGAGGAGGTGGGGCGGGGGGCCCAGTCAGGGAGGCCGGTGTCCAGCCCCCCCCCCCCCGGGTTCTCCAGGGACGCTGAATGGCTTTTTTTAGGGGGGCGGTTCCAACATGTCAAGGTGTTTTTTCCAGGCAAGCGTCCACGGAACGCGTTCTCTCTTGTATTGTTATTTCGACCCCTGTTCGTCACCCCACATCGCGGCGCCCATCGTAGTTGTGTAATACGGTGCAGGTCTTCTGCCAGCTATCCGAAGTTCAAGTCGGTCATGTCCGTCTACAGGAGGAAGATGCCCAAATGGTCAAAAATAGTATGGGGACGATGTTTTAAACCATGTTTGAATATGTTTGTACACTTCTGGTGAATTTGCAAGATTCCTTCCCAAATCCGCCTGAGGCAGGACATGCCCGTCCTGATCTTAAATCTCAAGTGGTAGCATGCCGGCCAGGCCGGTATCGAGCCCCTCCCCACCACATGTTTGCAACCTTACCAAAAGGGGCGCATGTGTAGGTCTAAGAAGTTGGTTGGGGTCCACAAGGAGCAGGTAGTCCCATACAACAGATGCAGCACGGGGCACATCTGCGCGCCGCCGCGAGGACACGTGGTGATCCTTCAGACACGATTGTTTCTTCACCAAATCCAGCACGGGGCTAGTCAAAAGCTGCCAAAACCACATACTCTTCAACCAAAGCGCCAGAATTCTGCGCGCTCGTGCGCACGCTGCGATCGGAAGCAATCCTTAGATGTGTTTGACATCCTGTGCGGGCCACTGTCTCGCGCATGCCGAAGATCTTCAACAACCATCGTGATCCCACCCCCTCGTCAAATAGTACTGGGTGCGGGCCACACGCGCGTGTGCGCCGCGCGTACATCAAAATCGCTCCAACATCGCGGGTTTCCTTACCACTTCAGCATAGAGGTGCGCAAGCACATACGAACACCCAATGCTTTGCGATCAAAGCATGTCCGGGTGTTTGAATGTCTGTGGACGCGCACTTTTCTATGATCCTCTTTCGCACAATCGCTATCGTCCTCGCAAGCGGCCTCGTTACCATCGCCCGCATTGTCTTCATCGCCACTAGCGTCGGGATCTTCACCGCCGCCGTCACCGTCGTCCTCGTCGATGTCGTCGTCCTCGTAACATTTATGCGCGCGGGCACCTCGTCATCACCTTTGCCAGCACCGTCATCATCGCCAGTATCATCGTTGCCTAGTCGGTGCCATTACCATCAGCTTCACCACCATCACCATCGCCGTTGTCGTGGACATAGTCGCCACCGTTGTGATTTACATTTTCAGCGTAATTGTCATCGCCGGTGTCATCGACCAGTTGAGTTTTGCCAACAAGTTGCGGGTGGATGGGTGGGTGGGATGTTTGTGCGAGCAGTGGAGTTGATGATTTCAACATTGACAAGTGAGTCGCACCACGTAGATTCTATTAGTGCACATAGCTCGAACATCCTATCATGTATTCTGCTACATCGTTCGCGCCACATAAATTGGACCAGTCAGTTCGCGTGTGCGACGTAGGTTTTATCACCTACCTTGCACCGCTTACCTCAGCATAGAGTGCTCCCCATAGCTTGCCCCACGTCGCTTGCAACACATAGCTCGCACCACGTTGCAGCTTATACATAGCACCGCGTACATTACACCTCACAGATCGCACCACAGTTTGCACCACACAAACCACACTCCATCAGATGCACCGCACCTCATGAGTCCTTCAATTTGCCCCACACAGATTGCATATCATAGACTGCGCCCCGTAGATTGGACAGAGAGCTCAGATCGTCAGGGCAAGCACCTAGTCATCCAGCTGCCCCTGGCAATTCCGCCACCGTGCCAGCGCAGCATTCTGGGTGGCAGTAGGGGCCTGTTGGGGGTCTCTTGGGCAAGTGTTCAAGAAGGCAACTGTTCGGGAAGGCAAGGGCGCCTATTGGGGGTATCTTGGGACAGAAGGCTCGACTTGCTAGTTAGTGTTCCCACTCTTGGGCCCTTCTTGGGGTCCTCTTGGGCAGTCGTGGGCCGCCTCTTGTGCCGTCTTGGGGCCCTCTTGGGCCGTCTTGGGGTTCTCTTGGAGGTTTCTTGAGCCGTCTTTGGGGAGTCGTGGGGGTCTCTTGGGCCGTCTTGGAGCGTCGGAAACTCGAAACGGCGAGAACCCCACCAACATTGAACAAATCATGGAGCTTCAGTGGCTTTTGCCTCTCGGGGCCTTCTTGGATGCCTCCTGGGGGTGTCTTCTGGCCCTCGTGGTGCCTCCTGAGCCCTCTTGGGGCGGAGGGCTCGAATTGTCGGTTCGTGTTCACCCTCTTGAGCCATTCTTGGTGCCCTCTTGGGCATATTGTGCGCCTCTGGGGCCGTCGTCTTGGAGCCCTCTTCGGCCGCCTTGGGGCCCTCTTGGGGGCCTCGCGGGCCGTCTTGGGGCGGGCTTGGTGTGGCCTCTTGGGTCGTTTTGGGACGTCGCAAGCTTTCTTCTTCGTCGGAAACTTTTGGGGAAATTGAAGGAACCTCAGTGGTTTGTGCTTCTCGGTGCTCTCTTGGGAAAGCTTGTGGGGCTCTCCTTGGACGCCTCGATTTTCTCGTGAGTCGCCTTGAAGCTATCTTGGACAGTCCTGAGGCCAAAGTGGCCCGTCTTGCAGAGATATCGGGCCGTCTTGGAGGCATCTGGTCCTCGGGAGCGCGAACTTGTCGCATTTTGCGAGGGATTGTTGCCTGTGAAAGGGGTGGCGATGCCCGCGCCTGCGTGCGACCCGGGAGGTGGGGGGCCCCATAGAAGACTACACGAACCCCACCAGACAGCATTTGGAATTTTAGCACGCCTCCACGTGCCAGGAGGCACGGTGGCGGATTGTCAGGGATATTTGTCGCAGAGGTCGCAGGGTGTTCTGATAGAAGCGTCTTGTCCTATTGATGTCATTTGACGACAACGACGACGACGACGACGACGACGACGACGACGACGACGACGACGACGACGACGACGAGGACACGACCGAGTACATGCGCTTCCAGCGCTTCTTCGGGGTCGACGGGGACCTGGACGACGAGGACCAGAGGGCAAAACCGGCACCCGCTTTCGGAACCCCCTGCTGCCGGCCTCCATATGGCCACCAGGTAAGGGCTGCAAAGGAGTATGTGTGGCGCGTCATTGTTCCTGGCATCGCTCGGACGTGTGCTTTTTTTTCTCGGCGAGGACCCTGGAGGAGCATACTGGACCATCGAGCAAAAAATACACGCACGAAACCGAAAAATGCACAGGGGATGGACGTCCGAGCGATGGCAAGTGTTCGGCGTGACTCGGGACGGCTTCCCCGACGTCGACGCCGTGAACAGCAGAACGCCGTGACAAGATCACGGTTTGAGCTCGAGCCCAGCAGTTCCCCTCGGGCCAGCTCGATCCGCGAGGGCCTGAAGAGGACCGAAACAGCAGCCATTTCCGGTTTTGTCACAGCGCCCGGGTGGCAGGTCCCTCCCACGACCACGCCCGGGCTATACATCGGCAGAAAATCGACCCCCAACTCAGGAAGACAATTCTCGGGTTGGGAGGATGGGGTTGGAAGAGATGAGGATATCCTTAGCCGTAGGCGGCGGAGTTATCGTTCATGGCATCCGGAGGCTATTGCTCATGCCCTTCATCCTCCCGCCCCCTTCCTCCCAACACGGTAATTGTGTTCCTCCGCAGTGCTGCCTGCGTTTTTGTCCCAGCCCGCCTTGCTTTTGTCGAGCCGTGTCCAGCCGCAGCTACGAGGGGCGGCCACCGAAGCCCCAGAGGAGGAGCAGGAGGAGGAGGAGGAGGAGGAGGAGGAGGAGGAGGAGGAAGAGGGCAGGATAGTCTGTGCGGGCGGCAACTGAGAGCAGTACACGTGGGGGGGGGGATCGAGTATTGCAGGACAGTTGCCCTAACTTGGCTCTACGCTGCCGCCGCGTGCCCAAAAGGTGCGCGAGAGGCACACATGTTCTGCACCTCCCGTGTTTTGCCCCCCCTGAACGAACACTCGACCCATGCATGCGACGTTTCGATGTTGTCCCTACCCTCCTGCGTTGGCTTCTCGTTTTGATTAGAGCACCTCCTCTTCCTCCTCCTTGTTCCTCTTCCTGCCTCCTCCTCCTTGTTCCTCTTCCTGCCTCCTCCTTGTTCCTTCTCCTCCTCCTCCTCCTCCTTGTTCCTCCTCCTTGTTCCTCCTCCTGCCGTCTGTCTCCTCTTCCTGCGCAGGCTGCGAAGTGCGCAATCGTCGCCTCTCTCGCGGTCTCCTCCTGGGAGTCACGACGGAGTAGCGGAGGACCCGACGCCTCGCAGCTCCCTGGGTGGCGGCGAAGTGCGCAGTTGTCGCCACTTTCGTGGGCTCCTGGGAGGCACGGCGGAGTAGCGGAGTACCCGAGACCTTGCAGTTCTCTGGGTGGTTGCGATCTGCGCAATTGTCTCCACTTTCGTGAGCCCCTGGATGGCACGGCAGAGTAGCGGAGTACCCGAGACCTCGCAGCCCCTTGGGTGGTTGTGAATGGCGCAGTTGTCGCCATTCTCGCGGGCTCCTCCTGGGAGGCACGGCGGAGTAGCGGAGTACTCGAGACCTCGCAGCTCCCAGGGTGGCGGCGAACTGCGCAGTTGTCGCCATTTTCGTGGGCTCCTGGGAGGCACGGCGGAGTAGCGGAGTACTGGTTGTGAACGGCGCAGTTGTCGCCATTCTCGCGGGCTCCTCCTGGGAGGCACGGCAGAGTAGCGGAGTACTCGAGACCTCGCAGCTCCCAGGGTGGCGGCGAACTGCGCAGTTGTCGCCATTTTCGTGGGCTCCTGGGAGGCACGGCGGAGTAGCGGAGTACCCGACGCCTCGCAGCTCCTTGGGTGGTTGCGATCTGCGCAGTTGTCGCCATTTTCGTAGGCCCCTGGAAGGCACGGCAGAGTAGCGGAGTACCCGAGACTTGGGTGGTTGTGAACGGCGCAGTTGTCGCCATTCTCGCGGGCTCCTCCTGGGAGGCACGGCGGAGTAGCGGAGTACTCGAGACCTCGCAGCTCCCAGGGTGGCGGCGATCTGCGCAGTTGTCGCCATTTTCGTGGGCTCCTGGGAGGCACGGCGGAGTAGCGGAGTACCCGACGCCTCGCAGCTCCTTGGGTGGTTGCGATCTGCGCAGTTGTCGCTATTTTCGTAGGCCCCTGGAAGGCACGGCAGAGTAGCGGAGTACCCGAGACCTCGCAGCCCCTTGGGTGGTTGTGAACGGCGCAGTTGTCGCCATTCTCGCGGGCTCCTCCTGGGAGGCACGGCGGAGTAGCGGAGTACTCGAGACCTCGCAGCTCCCAGGGTGGCGGCGAACTGCGCAGTTGTCGCCATTTTCGTGGGCTCCTGGGAGGCACGGCGGAGTAGCGGAGTACCCGACGCCTCGCAGCTCCTTGGGTGGTTGCGATCTGCGCAGTTGTCGCCATTTTCGTAGGCCCCTGGAAGGCACGGCAGAGTAGCGGAGTACCCGAGACCTCGCAGCCCCTTGGGTGGTTGTGAACGGCGCAGTTGTCGCCATTCTCGCGGGCTCCTCCTGGGAGGCACGGCGGAGTAGCGGAGTACTCGAGACCTCGCAGCTCCCAGGGTGGCGGCGATCTGCGCAGTTGTCGCCATTTTCGTGGGCTCCTGGGAGGCACGGCGGAGTAGCGGAGTACCCGACGCCTCGCAGCTCCTTGGGTGGTTGCGATCTGCGCAGTTGTCGCTATTTTCGTAGGCCCCTGGAAGGCACGGCAGAGTAGCGGAGTACCCGAGACCTCGCAGCCCCTTGGGTGGTTGTGAACGGCGCAGTTGTCGCCATTCTCGCGGGCTTCTGGGAGGCACGGCGGAGTAGCGGAGTACTCGAGACCTCGCAGCTCCCAGGGTGGCGGCGAACTGCGCAGTTGTCGCCATTTTCGTGGGCTCCTGGGAGGCACGGCGGAGTAGCGGAGTACCCGAGACCTCGCAGCTCCCAGGGTGGTTGCGAACAGCGCAATTGTCTCCACTTTCTCGCGGGCTCCTCCTGGGAGGCACGGCGGAGTAGCGGAGTACCCGAGACCTCGCAGTTCTCTGGGTGGTTGCGATCTGCGCAATTGTCTCCGTTTTCGTGGGATCCTGGAAGGCACGGCAGAGTAGCAGAGTACCCGACGCCCTCGCAGCTCACTGGGTGGCTGCGAATTGCGCAGTTGTCACCTTTTTCGTAGGCTCCTGGGAGGCACGGCGGAGATGAGGGCATCCCTGATCCTGTATATCTGGCGATTTTTTCAGTCGTATGGAGCGTTCATATAGATCTTTGTCTCGCGTGGAGAAGAGGTCTTCGTACGTCTCGGAGAATGTCAATACGAAGTCTCCGAAAATCCTGACCCTTTTCCCAGGGCTGGTTTGTCGTCCCTAGTCGATTTTTGACGGGCCCAGGGCCCAGAGAGGGCCCCCGGAGGCAGAACATTTGCAAAAACCTCCCGTCGTGATTATTGCGTACGGCGGCGGCAAAATGCCGGCGGCGCCCTCGCACGGGCGCGCTCCGCGCGCTTCGGCGCGCTCGTGGGGATCTGTTGTCCGCGGGCGCCCGCAAGTTGCGTGCCACGATTTGCGTGCCCCTGGCCCCCAGGAGTGCCACTGGTAGACCCCAGCCTCACGTCGGGCCGGTCCCTCTACAGGAACAGTAGTACCAAAGAGAATGCCAGACAAATAGTCTGGGGAGGATTTCCGGGACTACTTCTCTGACTAGTTTTGAGTTTGGTTTGGCTCTCTTTGCTGTCTCGTCCAAAACCCGCTTGTCGGAGGACGTGCCCGACCAAACCCCGGCCCGATTCCGCGGCACCTCCGCCTGCCGCGCGGCCCCGCGGCCCGGGACCGTGGTGGTCTTCGGAGCGAGGGCAGGCGGCGGGAGAGGCCGCGGGGGCTCTCCTCCGCCGGCGTTGTTTTGGGGGAGATGCGGTGGCCTGCGAGGTCCTCGCCGTGCCCTTGAACCCCCCCCCCCCAAATAGGTGGGGTTCGGTGGCTCGGGTCCCGCGGCCGCGCGCCCGCCTCCTCCGCCTTCCCGTTGCTCTCCCCCTCTCCTCGCCCCTCTCTGCCCCTCCGGGGTATTCCCCCTAATCTGCGGGCAATGTCTATATCCACATCCAGTGCGTCTTGGAGTTTCGGGCTCTCTTCCCCAAAAACATGAGGCGCACTGGATATGGATTCAAATCTGGCCCCCAAAGGCTACATTTTACCCATATCCAGTGCGCCTCGGCCTTGCGGCGCCCCTTCCAAGAAAGTCCAAGACGCATTGGATATGGACGTAATTATTGCCCGCAAAATCGTCAGGCGTCCTTACCCGCGCTCGGCGCTTCACCGCCCCCCCCCCTCCCCCATGGCTGTTGGCCGGGGCGGCGGGGCCAGACTGGTGGTGTCCTCGCGCCCCCCGCCCCCCCCCCCCCCCTCCTCCCCCTCCAAACAAGGAGCCCGTCGCGATCCCAAGAAGGGGAAAGCCGCCTACTGCATGGGCGCAGTGCTCGGCCTTGCTTCGCACTGCCTGGCATTGTTTGGCATTGCTTCGCACTGCTTGGTACTTCTTGGCGTTGCTTGCCACTGTGAAGAAGCAAGACCGATGAACCTGGGGAAGGCATTGTAAAGAAACAAGATCGCGGAACCCGCGGAAGGCATAGTAAAAAAGACATGAACCAAGGGAAGGCACTGTAAAGAAACAAGACCGAGGACCCTGGGGAAAGCACTGTAAAGAAACTAGACCGAGGAACTTGGGGAAGGCACTGTATAGAAACGAAACCGAGGATCTTGGGGAAGGCACTGCAAATAAACAAGACCGAGGATCCTGGGGAAGGTCCGGGCAACAAGAGGGGAAGGAGGAGTAAGACTGTAAGGCCTCCTCTTCCTCCCCCCTCTCATCTTCATTCTCCGGTTCCCTCCTGATCCTCCTCCTTGCAAGAGTAAGATTGTAAGGCCTCCTCCTCCTCCTCCTCCTCTTCTTTCTTCCCCTCCTCCGAGAGAAGGTCGGCGACCAGCGGCTCCACAACGAGTCCGAGCTCGAGAGGCAACGCGAGCGGTTCGACGCCAGGAAGGCCGCGGACGCCGAGCGGCTGGTGGAGGCGAGTGGCAGCGGACTCGGCCCTCGGAGGGGAGGAGGGGCGGCTGCAGGAGGGAGGGAGGGACGGAGGGGGGGAACTTTAGGAGTTGGGCCTCGAGGCCCCCAGTATTGCTCGATTCGACGCTCCTGTATGCTACTCGTTGTTTTTTACCAAGGCTCGCGCCCGCAGACCCCAGGCCGGCAGGCCGCTCCTCCAACGCGAGGCGCAGGGGCTCATCCCCGCCATCAGCGTCCAGATGAGGCGTTAGGAGCAGGACAAGCGAGGACCTCCGATCGGCCACGCGCGAGGGAGGGAGGGGGAGAGAACGGGGAGAAGAAGGGGGGGAGAGGGGGGGAAGCACCTTCCCGAAGGGAGGGGGATCATGGGTTTTCGAGGAGGGAAAGGAAAACAGCCCAACTCGCTAGACCACCTATGCCCAGAGGACTCGTGGGATCTGTTCTGGCTCGGGTTACCTCGGGGCATGTGGAGGCGACACAAAAACTTGTCGTCCGATACGGGGAGAGTGGCTGGGCAAAGCGGAACCGAAGGGAACAGACGGGCTAGCTACCAAGCTTCCCCTCGTGGCCACTCTCCAAAGCTGCCCCCGATAGGGCACCTAAAGCTTTACGCCCAGACTTGAGTGCCCTGCCATCACGGAAAATATCACCTTGCAAAGTCTCGTCACGGCCCACAGTGGCCGCATTCCTGCGAGAGGTATGCAGAATTACGACAGCACGCTGTCACAGCAACGAGGTCGGCGCATTGCTCGTAGCAGCAGGAGCAGCCATGCAAGCACTTTTTGATCTCATGGAAAGCGTTTTGTTATTAGTTGAGCCCGTAACGTTTGTGACTTCCTCTCTCACCCCCCCCGTAACGGTATCGAACTTACGCGTGGATGGTGCCGGCTTCCCCTCAGGTATGGCGCTATTCTCACAGGCGGGTCGTGGTGCTGACAGGCATTGTTTGGTGCTCACAGGCATGCTGTGGCGCTTGCAAGCATCGGGTTCGCCAGGAATGCCAGGAACGCTGAGAATGCGATGTTGCTACTGGTGCTGCTGCTCCGGCTTCTGCTGCTCCTGCTGCTGCTCTGGTGCTCTTCCTGGTGCTTCACCAGTGTTCCTTCTCCTCACGTGCTCTAACTGCTGGTTCTCATGCTCCTCCCGCTGTTCCGCCTGTCTTCTCCTCCTGCTACTCTTCCTGCTCTTCTTCCTGCTGCTGCTCCTCCTGCTGCACCTTGTCCTGCTCATGCCGTTGCTCCTCCTGCTGCTATCCGGCTGCTCCTCCTGCTGCTCCTGCTGCTGTTCTGCCGCCCCCCTGCTCCTGCCTGCTCCTGTTGCTCCTCCTGATGGTCCTTTGGCCGCCACTTCTGCTGCTCTTCCTGTCCTGTTGCTCCTCCTGCTGCTCTTCTTGCTGCTGCTTCCCCTGCTGATCCTCCCGCTGCTCCTCGTGACTCTGTTTCCCCTTCTCCTTCTGCAGCTGCTCCTGCTGGTCCTCCTGTTCCTCCTTCTGCTGCTCCTCCTGCTGCTCCTTTTTCTTATACGGCTGCCCCGGCTGCTCCGCTGGCTGCTCCTGCTGCTGTTCCTCCTGATGATTTTGCTCTTCCGGTGCTCTGCTCGTGCTCCTACTGCTCTTCCTATACTGCTCCTCCTGATTCTGCCGTGCTCTTACTCGAGTGCTCCTCCTGCTGCTCCTTCTGCTGCTCCTGCTTGCTGTTTAGGTGTTCCTCTGTCCTGCTTCTCTTGTTCCTGTTTTTGCTGCGCCTCCTGCTGCTGTCGTTCTACTCCTGCTGATCCTCTTGCTGCACTTCCTAATTAATGCTGTTGTTGCTGCTCCTTTTGCTGCTCCTCCATTTGCTCCTGCTGCTGCTCCTGATGTTCCTCCTTTTCTCCTGCTGCTCATCC